TCCACCGCGCTGTCAGCAGTTAGGACTCGCAAACACGAGCTTGGCAGGGTGGCAGAGGCCGAGGATCCACTTGCGAGGATGAAACAAAAGGATGACAAGTTCAAGGCCACTGTGAGCCATTTAGTAAGACACGGTCTCAAAATAAAAAGGGTGGAGAATACAGCTCAATAGCGGCGTTTGCCTAGCAGGCTTGAGGCCAGGGTCGAGCTCCAGCAGGGGGAGGGTAACACACGTGCGCTGTTCGCCTAGGTATGCGAGCCACCCACTGGAAAAGACCCAAGACCTTTTCCTGTGCTTGTCTTCTGTGCACCTTGGAACACGTACATTGGGTTTTCTTGCTGAGTTCTAATAGGTCTTTGTTCTTGATACAGCCAAGATATAACCCCCTTGTAAGACCTGTGATTTGCAAATATTTTGTGTTTCTTTTCACTCTTTTAGAAATGTCTTTCATATAGTGAAGTTGTTAATTTTAAAAAGTCCACTTTTTTTTTCATGGTTTGTGCTTTTAGTGTTCTGTGGGTGTAGAAGGAAAGAAACCACTCAAACTCATTTTCTCCAACTATTCTTTCAGTCACTCCTGACATCAGACACCTGGGGGATTTCTCTCATACACTGCACCATGTAAGCAATTCTGCAGTGGACACGAGCTGGATGTCCTCTAATTCTATTCTGTTCCGAAACAGCATACCTGGAGATGACGTCAGAATCCACAGGCTGAGAGCTTAATCCCTAAGAATGCTTCCCTACCCCCCACCTCCCGCCAACTTTGGATGCCTCAGGTTTTTACCTGACCAGTTTTACACTGGGGTTCCTATATCCTCTTCCTAGGGTGGGAGTTGAGGGCTCAGAACTCAGGAAAAGACACTACTACTTTTTAGGATACTACGAATGCTATATAGATTGAGGGGCACAGGGTGAAGAACGCGGGAAGGAGATCGGAACTTCCGTGCGCTCTCCCCCACCCTTCAGGAACCTTCATGTTCAGCTGTCTGGAAACCTCTGAACCCTGTGCTTTCTCAATGGAGACTTCCCTGTGTAATAGGGGTGAGCACGGCATAGCGCCAACCACAGGCCGGAAAGGGATCGGGCAGAAAGGTCTGAGGCAACTCTGACAGCGGGGAAGCCCAGCCAGGCTCATGTTTCGCACTTTTCTTGCCTTCTCCCCAAAACTTTCCTCCAGGGTAGGGGGAAACGCCCTTCTGCAGTGAGGCCTCCTTGGGGAAGGAATTCTAGCTTCTATGGCCTGCTTTGGAGAGGGAGTTAAGGGCTAGGAAGACTGCTGAAAATCAGTAATTCTTTACTTAAGATCACAACTTTTTAAAATGTTCTCTTGTATCTTTAGGTTTAAAATATATATCCATGACTAATTTTGAGTTAAATTTTGCCTTCGGTATGAATTTTGTACAGAAAATTTTAAGCATATAGACACTCAGTTTTTTAAAAGATTGTCTTTTCTCCATTGAAATGTCTTAATATCTTTGTAGAAAATTGACTCCATACGTGTGGGTGTGTGTGCAGGCAGTTCTACTCCACCGATCTGTCTTCCGGACAGGGCTATGCTACCTTATCACAGTGCCTTCACAGTGAGCTTTTCCTTTTATAGTTGTTGTTGATTACTCTGGTTCCTTTGCCTTCCCACATCAATTTTACACTTAGCTCACTGATGTCGATTACAAAATTTTGCAGGGGTTTTGACTGGAACTGCTTTAACAGACCGGAAGTCTGTTAGGAATCTTGACAACACTGCAGTTTCAGTCCATGAACTTCATGCATCTCTCCATTTACCAAGGTCCTTTCTGTCTCTCCCACTGTTACTCTGCAGTGCCTTCGGCATATAGAACTGTGGCATAGTTTGTAAAACTTGTCCCAAAGCAGTCCATGGATTTTGGTGCTATAACATACGGCACATTACAAAATTCAATTTCCAATTTTTATTGCTGATAGAAAATTTTTTGTATACTGACCTTATATCCCACATAATTGTTGAACTGCTTAATTCTCCTAGCTTTTTTAAAGGTAGAGTATATAATCATAAGTAAAGTTTTCTAATTTTTATGGTCTTTTATATTGCTTTATTGTAATTGCTAGGCCCAAGTATACTGTTAGAGTGGTGAAGTGGACACCATGAATAATTTCAATTTCTTAAAATTTGCCAAGATTTACATATGGTATTTTGGTAAACAACTCACATGAGCTATTGAGGACTGTATCCTGTAACGGTTGCGTGTATTGGATCACAACACATGTCAACTAAGTTACACTAATCATATTATTAAATTTATTGACATACTATTACATTTTTTTCTTTGGGTCCACTTGTTTTATTGAGATTACAATGCCATTATAGTCTGGGACTTACACCTTTGTTTGCTTTATGAATATTTTTTGACAGTTTTACTGTCTGTAGCTCAGGCTGGCCTTAAACTCATGATCTTCCTGGCTCAGCCTCCCAAGGGCTGGGATTACAGCAGTGTGCCACCTCCCCAGCCTTTAACTTTCCATTTTTGAAATGCGCACTAACCGTACGGTATGACTGTTTATATATATACCCGTTAACAATGTATTCTTTTTGACTGATTTGAATCTCCACTTATGTGGTCTCAAGCTGTGTATGTTTTCATTCATTACTGTTTTTGAGATGAACACGTTTAACTACTGATTTCTCACTGCTCTGCACTATCCTACCACATAAACCAGTGGTGGTGAACCTCTGGCATGTGTGCCACCGCAGGCTGTATCACTGAAAGCTCTCAAAGGTTTGGCATTTGATATAAACGAATACCAGATACAGGTAGCACCACACCTTTAAACATGATTAAATGTCTTTAGTCTTGACCTTTCTTTTCTGAGCTTGGCTCCTTTGTCAGTCTGCCAACTCAACACCTCTTTGATTCAACAGGCATCTCAAATTTAACGTGAAAACAATCTTTTCCCATTCTCCACCCTTCAGATGTGCTCCTTTTCAATCTTTTTCATCTCTTTTTGTGACACCATTCTACAAGATACACAAAGAACCAAAATTAAGCTGGAAACAAATGTGGTTTCGTGTTGAGATACAATAAACATAGCAGAGTTCAAGTTAGAAAGACAGAAGGGGCCACAACTTGTAGGGCCTACGGTTAAATTAAGATCTGGTCAGGATGGGACAGGGAGCCACTGGAAGGTCTGCCAAGTGGAAGACCACTTAGATGCTGGTGGTCTAGAAGATGGTTGTGAAACTCCAGTGGTAGCTGTGGAGATGGAGACTGGTGTAGGAGATTTCAAATACGTTTTGTAGTCAGAGATAGCAGAACTTGTGGTGGATCTGACGCAGGAAGTACAAGAACCAGACATAAGTCAACTGTTCTTGCTTTTTTCTTAGATTTTCTCATTGTGTCCCATGATTTCTGCCTGCTCTTTCGTATTTCCTACCAGTTCCTCTCTCTGCATCCCACTGTTGGTGACTTTGTAAAATCAACACTTGAGTTCACGGGGCTGGGGATTTAGCTCAGCGGCAAAAGCGCCTGCCTGGCAAGTGCAAGGTCGTGAGTTCGGTTCCCGGTACCGGAGAAAAACAAAAAAACAAAACAAAAAAACAACACTTGAGTTCACAAACTCTCTTCAAGTGTCTAGTCACCATGATAAGCACTTGGGAGGCTGAGGCAAAAGGATCATTGTGAGTTCAAGGTCAGCCTGGGCTACAAAGTGAGTTTAAGACCAGCCTGAACTGCATAGTGAGACCCAAAAAAGACCAAAACAGAACAAAAAAAAAACAAAAAAAAAACGCCATGATAACTACTACTCACTTATTATTTTTCAGATTTGTCCAGAAGATTGGTAATGTTTTCCTTGTTATGTCTAATCATTCTAAACATACTATTTTGTGGTGTTTCAGCTTATTCTATTTGTACCTGCAGATTCTCCTGTAGATGATGTATAAATTTACTTACTTGAGAATCTTTGCTCTTGGTGCTAATTCTACGGAGCCCTATCTCAAACTGTCCCTAAGAGCAGTTTCTGCTGCGATGCCAAAATTGATTTTATCTTCTTGGCTTGTGGTTGGTATACTGTATCTTTAATGTAAATGTAGATTCCTGTATACATAGACCTGGGATTCTGACTTTATTTCTGGGCTTATGGACAGTTGCTCTAGTACCATCTGAATGTAAGATCTTTATGTTGTTTTTATGAGGTGAGACTAAATCTCTTGTCTCTACAAATTAGGATCTCAGCCCCTGTAATTCAAAAGATGTTGACTAGTTCGTGTGAATTCACCAGATGCTCACTAGAAGCAGGTCTTGAATCAGGAAACAGTTTTTATCTCCTACAAGATGGCTACTTACAGTGTTTTGTGTGAACAGCATTCTTTTCAAATAATTAACATAACTCAAGTTACTTTACTGATTCACACTGATTTCCCTGGCATTTGATAACAGACATTTCAGGCAACTGATTTCACTTTGTATTCAATCCACTGACGTCAGCATGTATTCCGGGAGGTCTGCAAAAGTAGATGAGTGCGCTGGGATTAAATATTTGGAACACACGTGCGATGAAATGATTGCCACATATGTAATTTCTGTTATGTTTTCGTACTTCCATTTTTGCCTCTACATGGTCATATTCTCAAATAGCTTCACTGGTCTACGGCTATACCCTCCTGAACGCGCCCGATCTTGTCAAATAGCTTCACTGGAACATTTAATTTTGAATAAGTTTCTATAAACCCAGAAGGAATAATTCAGTTATGTTCAGTCTGCTTTTTCTTTTTTAAGAAATGTTTGCGAAAAAGTGCATGTATGATATATGAATATGAGGGATGTGAATATATATGAGAAACAAAAATTATATCCAGAACTCTAATTTTTTAAAAGATTTTCCTAAGGGAAATGCTAGTGATGACACTGATAATCTCTGAATCAGTAATTATTTTCACTTTTCTATAATAGACACACAAAAAATAGGGAAACAGTACAATAGATATTCATGAACCCACTACCCAGTTTAAAATAGTATCAGTGTTCTCTCATGCTTGCTTTATTTCCCATACCCACACATTTTTAAAGACATAACTACCATATCATCACATCCGTAAAACTGACAGCAGTTCTTCAGTAGCATTCATTAGTCAATTCAATCTTTCTGGTGTATCCATTCTTCTTAAGATATACTACTGTGTACTGGGACACTTAATACTTAGTTCTTTCCTTTTATTTGAAAAACTGGAATGTATGAGTTAATATTTCACAATTCAAATATTATTTTAAAAATGTTAATAAGCCACACTACTTCTCATTCAGAGATAACCATTATTATTTTCTTGTTTATCCTTCTAGAAATATTTTACTAACACACACACATTCTTTGATATTAAACTCTTAAAATTTAAACTACTTAAATATTTCTAGTTCCACTCAACCTTTCAAATTAGAGGGAAAAACTTTTATGGTATGGTATGAATTCTTCGGTCCCGTACTATCTCTTTAATATTGCTCCTCATCTAAGAAAATATCAATTTCTATGAGCTATGTTAAATAGCTGGTTTATGGAAAGAGCAAATAAATAGTTAATAAAAAACATTCAACTCAAGTACAGTGGATATTCTATGTAAAGTCATGGATTTCCATTTGGTCTTCTACCTCTGTACATAAACCTTCAACAATGAAGAAAGTGTTCAGTATTTTAAAACCTTTAAAGCATCTCTGAACTAAATAACCCTCAGCTTTTTAATCATTTCCTACAAATAACACACAATTGCATATATTTCACAATTTCAATCTTATGTTTATTCTCTTGTGGAATGCTAGATTTAATATTACAATATGGTTGTCTAAGCTACTGAAATGTGACAAATGTCCAAGTCTAAGTGCTGCAGAACAGTATAACTATAAAGGTTTTAAACAAACACTTGTACATCTGAGGTCTGATGGTTTTTAAACTGATGCCTATATGTATGGCCAGCCACAAACCTTGGGGAAGTTTATTACCTGTACACTTATATACAAATATATCCCATATATGTGTATGCACAAGGCATGTATTAATTTATGTGAAATTTATAAAATTATATATACATACACATACATGTTTATCTATATCCACATACCCACCCTTACCATTGAGTTCACTTTTGTAATACTAGTTAATCAGCTTCATGCCCAATTATTATTGCTGCCCATATAACTACATGATTTTAGTGCCAAAACCAGGCACTTTTTTGGGTGCAGGATAGATATGTTTGTGCATATAGATAAGTGTGTTCATGTATGTTTGTATATATAAAGGAACAGTTTCTCCCTTTTATGATTCAGTCATGCATTACTCCAATAAACAGTCTTTTCACCATAGTTTTGGAATTCTAAATCTACTTTTGGAAAACTGTCTATGTTCATAGTTACAAAATATATTATATATATGATCAAAACCTATTGAGTACATATGTTCTTTAAATCTGGCTATATCCTAGCCATTAGACAAATTTTTAAAAAAGCAAAACACCCTCTTAATAGGATGTTATGGTACCTTTAAATATACCAGTACCTGTACTTAGAATAGTTGATATTGTATTTTAAAAGTTGACAAAATGATGTTAAAGATTTGAAAAACACTATGAATCTGCATTAAATATATAAATGTTTTCACTAAGGGTCTGGTTCAGTTCATTGTCTTAACATTTTTATGTTCCAAGATTGACTAATATCTTAGTCATTATTCTTACAGTCTTAAAATTATGGCTCATTAAGGCTTTCATACAAAAAAGCCCTATTTTAATCAATTATAAAAACAAGTTCAATTTAAAAGAAAAATGTACATGAACACTAAAAGTACTCATGGATCTCATCCTGTACAAAGTGACTCTGTGGAAAGGAGGCTCGTTCCTAATGAGAACAAACACCCCCTGGTAGCACATGTAAACCTGGTTTGGTTCCTCTGCTCTGCAGCTATTCAGCATGTAAAATTTAAACCATTTCACATTAACATTTAAATTTAATACAGTGCAAATATTTGAGAATAACTTGTTCCCCCCTGTGAAACAAGAGCCAGCATTATGCTGAATATTCTTCATATCTATTTACACATTGAGTTAAAAGTTCACAATAAACTTAGAAATTTGCTGAATATCAGCAGAAATGTAACTGAACTAGCAGCAACTGAATTTACAATATTTGATAGTTACTTGAGCGAATGCATAAAATTTTCCAGGCTGTACTCTGAGTCATATTGTTCTTGATCCCAAAGATCACTCATGTTTTCAAGAATTGATTTCATACTTGCTTTTCCAGAAGTAGAGGTGTCAGCTTTTTCTGCTTTACCATCCTTAAAAAAATTCAGCAAAAAGGTAAAATAAAAGGTCATTAACCTCAGAAATATTTTCCTTTAAAATATCACATTTGCTTTTAACAGAGATGTCCACTTCATGTAATAGGGAAGTTTATCACTTCAAAACATCGCACATTCTATTTTGCCATAGTAATGTACCATTTTTAGTTTTGTATTTATAAATAATTTTCTGGAAGAGTTACAAGAATTCATTGCTAACTTTGTCATATTTGCTTTTTTACTCTTTCATAATGTGTGTATATAAATATATTAGCCAGATATATTAGCTTTTTCCCTTAATAAAAGGAATCCCAAGAGGAAGTTATAAGTTATGTCCCCTTCATCCCTAGATAGGAATCCACATGCATTCCTGAAACAAGGACACTGTCTTATATTACTATGTCAGACCAGGTGAGGAACATTTAACAGTGATTATGTTTCTTCAAATTTTTCCAGTTGTCCCAATAGTAGACTTTATGGCAGTAGCTCCCTGGAATATCCCACGCCCGGTTTTGCTTGCTGAAAGTCACTCAGAAGAATACTCTTTCAAACAGAACAAAAGCTATTTGAAGACTGCTATGCACTTTTCTTTTTTCCAGATTAAACATCCTCATTCTTTCAACTTTACCTTATAGTACACGACTGAAAAGCCTCCCTCTATTCTGGCCATTAGGGATTTGTTAACCCATTTCTGTTAAATCACAGCACCTAGAACTATGCATACCATTCCAAATGTGGTTTACCAGACAGACCACAGTAGAATTACTTTCTCTCAGACTTAGATGCCACAAGTCTGTTATTATTACAGCTTTTAAAAGTTTATTTGCAAGAGGATGCTTCTTGCCATAATTTATACTGAGTAGGATGCTGATTTTCTGAACTTATAAAGCACTTTCACATCCAATCCTATTAGTCTTAAATTATCTAATATCTAGTTGATGTGTCCTTTTGATTTTCGGTTGTTATTTGACACATCAAATCCAACTATGGATACTATGTATTGAGAATGAACTCTAGATAGCATTTCTAAGTACTCATATATTTTATTGTATCCTTACAACTATGTAGTAAAAATAGGTGTAGATACTCAGAAGTTAACTTGCCTAAGACCATTAGTGAATAGTACACAGGACCAGAAACTCCCATCCAAGGAGTTTACTGATTCCAGTGATAAGCTGTCCTTTAGCAGGAAAGGTCTAAAGAAAGAAACCCAGAGGCAAGACACTGGAGGCAGCAACCAGAAAGTCAAGATTTGAAACACCTGCTAGTATACTAAGGAGTTTTATCTGGCCACAAAAAATCCCCCAAACAGTTATCTAATGGAGACTAACGTGAATGCCTTCTCCTATTCCCTTTAATGTGTATATACAGTAGTCCTGTGAACTCATTAAAGATGAATGGTTTAAGTTCTTTACCTTATCAAGGGTAAACAGATCAAGAAGTTGGTCAGTGCCCATACTCTGCAAACTTGAATTCTCTTGGCTAATAACAGTATTTGCTATGTTCATCTTGAATTTCTGCAAACCCATTATTTTCTCTTCCAATGTTCCTCTGGTTATCAGTCGGTAAACATTAACGACACGTTTCTAAATGAAAAAAACAGTTAAAACAAATGGAGCACAAACTGCTATGCTATGAGCTTTACTAAGATGGGGGCTTACGTTTTTGTACCGAGTACTTTTTCTGTTACCCTAATTAGGACTGGGTTTTTATTTTATCTTGCCTTGTGAGCTCAAAATGTTTGCAGAAACCACAGAATGTTAGGGATGAACAGTGATCCAGGTTTTCTTAGCCTGTGTACTTCACTGAATGCATGAGAAGTGATACCACAGAAGAGCCAAGTGAATTGTCCAAGGTCACAACCCTTGTTAACATAAAAGCAAAAATCTGAAACCGTTTTCTGCCTTCCTAGAGGGAGTATTTTCCCTAAGGCACATGTTAAAACCTGAGAGGTGACTCTACCTGACCAATGCGATGGGCCCTGTCCATGGCTTGTAGATCTCGCATGGGATTCCAGTCATGCTCCACAAATACAACCGTGTCAGCGCCTGTCAAATTAAGCCCCAGGCCACCAACGTGAGTTGTAAGCAAGAGAACATCTATGGATGGATCATTGTTAAACCTAGAAGTACAGATATCGAAAAATAAAATTAGTACATTCTTACTAAGGCTCGCATAACAGAGACTGTCTAAAAAAAATTGAAGAGCACAAATCAAAATACTGCTTTAAAAACTCACAAAGTAGATATTTCTGTGACCATTTGAGATGAAAATATCCTCTTTTAATATACATAAAAGCTTTAGTAGAAAGAAAGCACTCTGAAGCTTATCAGAAATTTCATAATGACTAAGTTACAAAATATAAACAAACACCACTTATAATGAAAACAAAATTCAAATGTGAAACTTTATAGCATGGACACAGAGGAGTGGGGAACAGGTAATATCGCTCAAGGAAGATAGAAGCTGAAAATTTTGGAGTTATTACAATTTTACAAGTCCTAGAAGACAGTGATAAAGGACATCTAACTTCTAGGAAAAAATATTATTATTTACCAATATCAAAAATAGCGACCAAACAAGCTACCAATTATCACCTTCTATGAGCACACACTGTTGCTTATTACAACAGTTGTATCGAGGATGCTGCCATCATTTCTTTTTCACAGACTGGGAACACTGTTTAAACAGTTTGACGAGAAGTCAAACCTGGGCCTGTCTGCCTCCAAAGTCCCGCTGTGGGTCTCTAGCTGTATTTTGCTTAACAGTCTCTTAGGGATGCTTGTTTACAATGTCCACTCAAAATCAGCAAGGCTGGGACAGAAGCTAGGTATCTGCATTTTTCATAAAAGGTACCCCTGAAATTTTTCAAGCAGGAGACTGCAAACCACACTAATTTTACTTCCCAGATGGGCCAGCTTCTAACTTGTTCTCTAGAGAGAAACAGATTAGGATGAGACTTTAATTAAGCTATTTCTTTGATTTCTCCTACTGTAATTCCCTAAGAACGTAAGGGAGAAAGTAGCGATCTTAAATTTCTTTCATGCTTTTCAGAAATGCTTTTCTAATATGGTCACATTTTTTTACTTAGTTAGAAAAAATTCAATTGTAATTCTTTAGTTCTGTATTTAAACTTTGTTTTGCAGTACTGAGGATTATAACCCAGTCCTTGTAATGAGCTATCTCCCTATTCCTTTTTATTATTTTATTTTGAGACAAGCTCTAAGTTTCTCAGAATGGCCTGGAACTTGTAATTCTGCCTTAGACTCCCCAGTAGCTGGGGTTACAGGTGTGAGCCACAGTGCCTGACTTTTTACAAGGGTGTTTATTTGGGCTGAATTACTCTATTCAGTAGTAAAATACTTGCAGATATTTAGCCAATGGAAATATTTAGCAAGGCAGACTCTACATCAATGCATGCACTGACTGACTGACTGTTTTGAGACAGGGTTTTTGCTATAGTTCAAGCTGGCCTTAAACTCACTATGTAGTCCAGGATGGCCTCAAACTTGTCACCATTCTCCTGCCTCAGCCTCCCAAGTGCTGGGATTATAGGAATGCACCACTACACCTCGCTATAAGGCATTTATTATAGCCTGATGTACAGTAATAGAACTTTGGGAGCCACTTACCGGGAAACAATGGAATGCCTCTGACCAGGTGGAATGCTGCCATCTAATCTCAAATAAGTGACAGAAGGCAGATGAGGTTTGAGCAAGTCATGTTCTACTATATCAAGCATGCTTTTAAGCTGACAGAAAATCAGTATCCTGTGCTGGGCCACAACGGACTCTGTGCCACTCTCTGAAGTGCTGCCATTTCCCAAACCGCAGTCCAACAGCAACTGGGAAAAAAACCATTACACAGGTGTTCAGGAGAAGTAGACAGCCCCTCTCCCCATGATAAGCACTCCTCTGCATGGCAGGAAAAGGCTAAATTTGTAACTTGGGAAACAGATTAGTACTTTGGGCTGCCATCTGTCACCCTAAAGCATCTTGAACTAGTTTTTGAGGTGCTCAAGCTTCAAGTTTCATGGTCATCTAACAGGCCTTTTCTCTTTTCCTTAGTTCTTTCAGGCTCCCTAGGGCCTCAATAAATGTTTACCAAAAGTAACAACACAAAAGATGCCCCAGGCAAAATGCTTCATAAAAACTATAAAAGAATAGAGTATGAAGAAAACATAATATGGTAGAAATCAAAATTATCAGGCTAGATCTCCTGTGTCCCTGAAAAGTGAGCTTGCTTCTTTATCTGCAGACCAAGACCTTTAATAGTAAACACTGCTACATATATTCTGTAGTTCTTGCAACTTAAGTGGTTTACAGCACCCTTATACTTTTATTTTGGTACTGAGAATCAACCTTATATTTTGTAAGTACAATAACTGAGTGAATAAAATACATGAAAATCACAGGTCAGTCTGGGAAACTAGTACACCCAACAGTAGTCTTCCTCATCCCTAGGGACTCAGATACTGTCTTCTGCTCAAAATCGTAATGCAAGATGCTTTCTCTTTTTCATACTGAGGTACTGAAAAACTAAAAATTTTAACTATGAAAAACAAAACCGAATGCTCAGCTGGGAAAGACAACCTCACTTTTCTGCCAAACAGCCCTACAAGTCTGAATTTTTATCCCCTAGATCAGGTGTACAGAATATCAGAGGGATTCTGCGACATAGAGTAAAGAAGTCTAATAAATGTAACTGTCCCTAACGCTTGCCCCCAAGGGTTACTGGGGGCTACCCAAGCTAAGTCCATGCAGTCACATTACTATCCAAGCTGTTTCTTTTTTTCAAGTCCCATCTAGGATGTCTCAGGAGAGAATAAGACTGTGTGGTAAGCAGAATAAAGTACGTGATAAGCAGGACATTTTTTAAAAATAAGACTCCCAGAGAGCGAGAATTTATCATCATGTCTGTCTCATGCTACCGTTATCATCTAGTCATCTTGGTCTCTTGACAGCAATATCACAAGCCTTAAAGATAATCAGTCATTTTTTTTTTGGTACCAGGAATCGAACTCACGACCTCATGCTTGCCAGGCAGGCGCTGTGCTGCTGAGCTATATCCCCACTGATCAGTCATATCAAAAGTATACATCTAAGATTTCCTACTCTAAGCCCACCCTTACCAGATAACCTTCCTAATGGAATCCTCTTCCCATACAGCTGAGATGAGGATTCCTGTCTGGCAGTATACATGACATTCTAGTTTTCCTAGTATTCCCTATAATCTGAGACTGCCCAGTGAGACTGAAAAGCTCCAGGTGTTGTGACAGAATCTATTTCAGTGCCTTGGAAAGTTGACTATTGGGTTCTAGAAAATGGTTGCCAAGACCTGCAAGACCTGACATGCCCAGCTGAGAGCCCAGCTACCCCCTGTAGCATTTCAGTGTTTTCTTGCTCTAATTTCAGTACAGGCCTAACTGCCCTGGCCTATCAAATCCTTATATAAAATGGTTTCTAGAGCCTTTGTAATGGCAACCCACTATGTAGCAAGTGTAGTACCCCGAAATATAAATACTACTCAAACTTTGATCTGTCTGGTAGAAAATACAGTGACAGTACAGTGCCCTCATTTGGGTCATTACATTGCTATGAAACCCACCCAGATCCTATAAATTTAATTTATTGGTAACTAATTCAAACATTAGGCTTTTAGTGAACTACCTATCCAAATGAAAGTCAACTTTACTCCACCGGAAAAGTTTATCATATTTCCAAAAAAAATCTGTATTTACTCATGTTTTTCAAAAAAACTGCTTATCATTAAATTTCACTTAGACTTTTAGTTCACCATTCTAGCATCTTGCAATTTTTCGTTCAGGCTCTGGCAATATTACATATTTCTTCTGGTATGACTATCTGCTGAGAAGCATGTTTCTAGTGACAGATTTTTAGAAAGTAAGACTTTTCCCCTAAGTACACATAGAAATTTCTCCTTTCTGAGACAGAACATTCACTCTGAATAACTGAAAAGTAAGAAAACAGAAAAGTCTTCCATGAGTATGGCCAGAAATAATGTGTGGCTCTCAGAGTTCTTAAGCTAAAATAATTATTGCTAAAGTCTAGATTTTATAGTAAGATCTACTAGAATTGAATCAAGGGAACCTGACCATTGAGCTGCCTCAGATTCTCTAGGCCACCATGCTTAGCTGAAGAACTACATTTCTAAGACTAGTTATAATTAACACTATTAATGCTAACACTTTGGTGCTCAAAATTGGTTAATTTAATCTAACCATTTATTTAATGTCATGTATTTTTGTTGTTGTTTTGAGACAAGGTCTCTGTACAGCTCAGGCTGACCTTGAACTCACTATGTAGCTTATGCTGGCCTCAAACTTACAATAATCATAGTGCCTCAGCCTCCCAAGTTCTGGGATTACTGGCAGGCACCACTACACTCAGCATAATCTAACCTTTTAAACCATAGAGGACATTATGGAGAAAGGAAAAAAATATCTGGAAATCATACCTGATAAAGTTTTAATATTCAGAATGCAAGAATGCAAAGAGTTAACGAAAAGATAACTCATAAACAAAATAGCAAAGAACTTGCACAGGCATTTCTCCAAAGAAGATACACAAATGTCCAATAAGCGCTGAGAACTGCTCAACATCATTAGTCATTAGGGAATGACAAATCAAATCTACAATGAGATAACACTTCATACCTATTAGTGTAGCTAGAATAAATGAAAAAAATGAAACAACAAAACAGGTGTTAGTAGGGGTTTGGACAAACTAGAACCTGATACATTGCCAGTAGGACTGTAAAATGGTGTAACTACTAAAATAGTTTGCTAGCTGCTAAAAATGTTAAACACAGAATTACCAAATGATCCAACAATTCTACTCCTACATCTGTATCCAAAAGAACTGAAAGGATTCAAATAGATACACTTACGAGCCAATGTTCACTGTAGCATTATTCACAATAGCCAAAAATTGAAATACTGATACATGTTATAACATGAATAAACTCTGAAAACACTATAGAGGTGAAACAAGCTAGTCATAAAAGGTCTTAATGTCTGCCTACCAGTTGATCTGTGCATAGTGGGCTGGTATCAGGCCCAGGGAAAGCAGAATAGGTCTGTGGGGCCTAGGGGCAGAGAGATGGACAGGACCAGAAAAACAACCAGGGGCTGGGGGTTTAGCTCAGTGGCACAGCGCCTGCCTGGCAAGCGCAAGGTCATGAGTTCCATTCCCGGTACCAGAAGAAAAACAAAAACAAAAACAACAACAAAAAAAACAAAAACAGAAAAACAACCAGAAACTGGGTGTGATGGTGCATGCTTATAATCCCAGGATTCTGCGAGTCTAAGGCAGGAGAATCGCAAGTTCAAGCCCAGCCTGGACAACTTAAGATCCAGTCTCAAAGTAAAAAAATTTAAAAAGGACTGGGAATGTAGCTCACTATGAGGTCCTGGGTTCAATCCCCACTACCAACAAAAAACTCCAAAACAAACCAAAAAAGAAACCCAGAAAAAAATATCTCATCATGCCCAGATATACTAAGAAAACAAAAAAATCAAGCAGCCCATGAAGAATGGAGAGGAAGAACACCTCTTGGGAGGAGAAGAAGGTTACCAGCCTGTTGGAAATAAAAGATGGGGGACAGGTTCACCTCTAATTTTTGATGAGCCACACCCAGTAAGCAGACCCATGATAACATGCGTGTATACGGAGATGATTTAGAAATGTTCATGGAGGAGAAAAATGAGAAGAAAACTTAGCAAGTTTCCACTGAGAGACTGTATTCTCATGGAACTCTCTGAACACGACCATCATAATGAATTTTGCCTTATGCCTCAACTTTTGCCATTTTCCATGAGACTTACACTGTGATTACTGATTTGTTTGCTGTGATCTTTATGTTATTTCCATGTATCAGAAGGACCTGTGTTGCTGGCTTCTAACTGGAGATTGCCTCTGCATCTATCTAAATTTCTGTCAACAACAGTTTTACCTATTTGCATGGAAAAATTTGAAATCAACAGAGCAATTAAAAAGCAAAGAAAATACAAAAAGACAATTATTGTATGATTCTACTTACCTGAAACACCACAACTAGGTAAAACTCATACAGATAGCAGATTAAAGGTTCAGGAGGGAAGGGAGACTGGACAGTAATTGCTTGATGAGTACAGAGTTTCTGATGATGGAAAAATACTTTGAAAATAGATGGGTGAGATGACTGCGCAATATTGGGAAGATAAGTAATGCCACAGATTTGCACATTTAAAAATGGTTAAAATGGCATACAATTTTAAAAAATGTATTTAAAAATCAACTAGCTGGATTTAAAATAAAGTGGTAAATACATCAACAGTCTTAGGGAAAAACATATTTAAAAAGACATACATACTTGTTTCAAAGCTGACAGTTTAGGCGCATGTTGAATATCATGAAGCGAAGAATTCTGAACTGCCAGTTTTTCAGTAATGTTCTTGAACTCTGGATGTTGAGGTGTTAAGACTAATGCTGGGTGGTTGCATAGTTTGCGTAAGTACTGTAATGCCTTTAAAGGGGGAGGAAGGAATATAAAAGTCCATTTCACACAGATAAATATCTGTATTTCTACCTTTTCCTAGCTATTTCATCTGTCTAGAAGTTTCTTTCTTCCTTGGCAAACTCTCGTTTCTTCAAGAATCAGTTCAAATGTCTTATCTGTAATTCTTGCATAGTTCATATGTATTTTTGAGGCTGTATTTCTTTTGAGACAGAGTCTTGATTTGTAGGTCTTGAACTCACTATGTAGTTCAGGGCTGGGATTATAAGTGTGTGCCACCATGCCTGGTATATGAAGCCATTTATAAAGTAAAAAAAAAAACGTTTACATCTGTCTCATCCACTAAACACCAACAGCAAAAAGAGTGTCTTATTTATCAGCTCCTTTAAAATGCTTTCCCAAAGAACCTAATAAAGCAGAGATTTTTCTAGAATGAGGCATCATTTCCTAAAGAATTTCTCAAACTTCAGTGGGTATGTTTCTTGAGGATCTTATATACCTGCAAATGTCTCCCTAGGCTAACTACTCAATAGTGTATTCTAATTTCGTATGTCAGAGGAGAGGGGGCGAAGTTAGGTTATTGTTTCAAGTCATTGTTTAAGAAAAATACTCCATCAGGTTTCTTCTGATTCAATCATGTCCCTTTTCTTCTGCCTCTTACTTGGCTTAGGATTTGGGTCTTGCCCCTGGCACTGAGTTCTGTATTAGTAAGCTCTATCCACAAGGCTCAAGAAACTGTTGAGCACTCTGATAAAAACTGGAGCTGGGCATGGTGGTGCATGTCTGTCATCCCAGAATTCAGGAGGCTGAGGCAGGAGAATTGCCATGAATTCAAGGCCAACCTGAACTACATAGCAAGACCCTGTCTCAAAAAACAAAGCAAAACAAAACAAAACAAAAAAAACAAAAAACAGTGAGAAAGGCAGAAGTCTTCACAAGCTATAGGCCCTTTCCTTTTCCTATGCTTTAAAATGCTGAAGTAATTTTCTGTGGTGGACTGTTCCAACAAGGGAAGAAAACAAGAGTTGATACTTGCTACATCTTTTTTATTTTTAAGTCTCTCCAGCATGAGACATGATCTGTCTGAGCACTATTGTACCTTTTGTATCCTCTGCTTAGAATTACTCCCCCCAACACACACATATAACATGCTTGTCTTCCTTCAGATTTTTGCTAAAATGTCACTTTCTCAGTGAGGTGGTCCTTGAGCCCTAGCTTTAAAAACTAGTTATAACCTATCCCCTGCTCCCACACGCTACTAACCCCATCATGTGCTTTATCTTCTCTTATATAATATACATTTTACTTATTTTTCACCTCTACAAGGTAAAGTCTCTCGCCCGCGCCCGCTGCCTTTTAGTGCAGAGTATTGAACTCACAGTTTTGTGCACGTTAGGCAAGTCGTCTACCACTGAATTATACCTGGAGCCTGTTTTTTATTTTAGGTGCTGGGGATAGCATCCAGGGCCTTGTGTATGCTAGGGAGGCACTCGAACAGTGGGCCACACACCCTTCCCCACATTGTCTGATGTTTTAATTAACCCCAGAGCTTAGAAAAGTTACAATGTGGTAGGTGCTCCAATAGTTTTTGAATGGAAAAGAGTCTTGAGTCTAAAATCCTTCTTTTCATGTAGTACACAAACATATATACTGCATTTTGTAGATCTAATATTAAAGTACTTTCTAATTACTAATTAATATTAGTTAATATTGAATAGGTAGTTTGACTTATTTTTATGTACAAATAATACTAGCAAAAATTAAATAAACCCATATTTCAGGGTTGCATATTAATAATTGCCCCAGTGAAGAATATTCTTTAACATTTAATATACATACTATAATTTATACCTGGAACACATGGCCTGTAGCTTTAAGCTTTGGTTTTTCAGTTTCTTCAGAAAGTGCAACTGAAGAAACTGTTTCTTCAACATCACACTTGGCACGTGACTTAGCAAAGTCTTCATAGAGCTGAACCTGTAAAATCATTCCATGAAAACTGTTAAGTATATTTTTTCAGTTGTTTAAAACATAGTTAACAAAGGCCAAAATGTTAAATCTCTATTCATAAATTGGTAATTCCTTTAAAACTGTATTTACATTAACTTTGGCTGCTGAAGTATTAAAATACTAATCAAACAGTTGTAGATTCCGTTTTCCTACTGGTCAGGGAAATAAATACTAATAAAAGGAAACAACCCTTCTGAGTAACATGAGAAAACTCTTAATATTCGAAAAGAACAAAAGCTGAAAGAATGTAACTGTTAACCTAAAAAGAGAGACTCATATACTTAGGGTCTGGATGCCTGCACTGTACATACTAAAACAGTGGAAAAGAAATAAAATCTAGAACTAAAGAACAGAAACCAGGGTACAAAAACCTGTGGATACTAAACAAAGCTAAAATATCACATCCCTCTGGAACGCCCTTCCTCAAAATTGTGTTTTATGTGTCTATGTTTTAGCACCACCATTATATTGCCAAAGATTTTTTTTTTTGGGTATCTTTCCTTATTGTACCTACTGTAAAAAGTCATCAACTCATTACTACTAAAACATTCAAGAAATATTAAACCACATTTTGCAAATGAAGGAATGAGGGACCAGAGAAATGAGATATAGAAGAAGCACAGATCTCTAAGCCTCCAGACTGGTATCCTTCTCATTAACCCCAAGATGACTAAAATAATACTGGCTAATAGGTTAACTATATACTGGATGGGAAAAAAGCTGTTTCTGCGTATGTCTAAATACTGTATCTTTTATTCATTTGACTGTAGTAAAATAGCTCCTAATGCTGAAGTAGACTGACACTAATCTATACCATAAACACTCTAATAGAAAATTCTGATTTATAGGCTATATCAAAGACAAGGTACAATTTTCATTTACATCTTTAGAAAAGTATCAGGAAAAGCTCAACAAATTGCTCTGATAATAGTCTCTATGTACAAAATCAGAACTTGCAGAAGGCAAAATCTGCAACATTTATAGCAAATGTTCTAATACTTCAAAGAGGATGAGGTCCCAGGGTCCCAGGTTTGAAACAGCCCTGTGTGCTTTAGCTCTATGAGCATAAGCAAGTTATTTGTTTTCCTTTTCTTATTTAATCCCCACAAGTGGGGATGAACAATAATGCTGTTGTGAAGATAATGTAACATTCATAAACAGGTTTCTGACCCTAATAAACACTGGCTTATAGTAGCTCAACTTCCTTATCCATGTTTTGCTTTCTGTAGTTTCAGTTACCCATAGTCCCAAACTATCACATGAAAAATTCTAGAAATTCATACATTTTAAATTGTGCCATTTTGAGTAGTATGTTGAAATTTCATATCTTTCCTGCCAGAGGTCTGAATTATTTTGTTAAGCATATCTATGCTGTATATGCTCCCTATTAGTCCTTTACTCCTGTCTCCACTATCACATCAACAATCATGGTATTTTAGTGCTGTATTCAAGGAACTCTTTGTTTTATTCAGTAATGGCCCCAAAGTATAGAGAATAATAATGATGGCAATTTGGATATGCAAAGGGAAGCCACACAGTGCTTTAAGTGAAAAGGTGAAAGCTCATGACTTAGTAAAAAAAAAAAAAAAAAAAAAAAATCAGATGCTGAGGTTGCTAAAATCTATAGGAAGAATAAAACCTAGAATACACAGGATTTAATACTCATCATTGTTTTACCCATCCACTGGGGGTCTTGGAATGTGTCCTCCATGGGTTAAAGAGAGGACTACTGCATTTTCTCCTCAGTCTAAGTTAATTGCAATCTTTTCAATTAACTAGACATATAAGAAAGCAATTATAACACTGGATTTTCTTCATAATATATTCAAAATGCACACATCTAAATTCATATCCCCATTTCTAAACATATTCATTTAGGTCTTATCTACATCTGCTTAAAGTATTTGTAATGCCAAAAGCTAATACCCTCTATTCAATACTTTTGTGGCTTACATAAACATTCTGCTAATAAATGTAACTCTGATAACAACAATCACCAGATTCCTAACCTGGAGAGGACTAAGAGTGCAATAATAGTCTTGAATAATTTTAGGTGGAAGATCCTGCAGAACATCTTCTTTCATTCTTCTCAGAAGAAATGGCAAGACCTGGCGGTGCAGTGCATCCATTGCAAGAACACCTGGTAAGAAGAAGAAAATATGGCTTCAAAAAAGCTAGGATTAATTTTTGTTTTGTTTTATTTCTTGTTGAGACAGGTTCTCGCTATGCAGTTTGGGCTGGCCTTAAACTCACTATGTAGCTCAGGCTGGCCTTGAACTTGTGGTGATGCTCCTGCCTCGGCCTCTCCAGTGTCTGGGATTACAGATGTGCACCATCATGCCCAGCCAGCTAAGATTACATTATACTCAATAACACAGGTCTTATAGTGATACTTCATACCTGCTTCTTGTTCTCGACTGGAACTTCGAGCATCCCTACTTGCTAATATAGGTTTACTATATCGAGCAGCAAACTGGCGTTCAGTACCCAAAAATCCTGGCATGAGGAAATCAAATAAAGACCACAGCTCCAAAACGTTGTTCTGAACATAAAAAGGAAGAACACAAGTTATCTTTTGTATTGGGATTATTTCCATATATTTAAAAAATGGAACATTAGTGAAAGCTCATTATGATGAAACAGATAATAGGCTATCACCATATTCTTAAGTATAAGTCTGTTTTAATGTGTAAAATTTACATCAGTAACCCTGGAGGAAATATTCTATTTGAGGGAAAACCTCTAGTTTCCACCATAATAAGAGTTGGTTCAGTATCTATACCCTACTATTATTAGCATCTGTAAAATATAGTAAATAGAAGAGCAGAAAGATAAATGGGTTTCTGAGTCTTTTAATTTATTCCTGATCTCAAGCTAACAGCAAGATTTAAGGATATCTGGGCAAAGATCATCAAATCTTCAACAAAGGAAACTTGTAAGAACTTGATTACAGTGGTACGTGGTTGACATATTTAATTCTTTCCATTATTCTAACTGCAGAATTTATTCCACAGTTCTGGTTGCAACCAAATGCAAGTATACATGTAGTATGGCACATACTTCCAAAATCATAGAAAGAATTAAGTTTACGAACTGAGGTACACTGTATATGTTCACCCAGTTTTTAAATTTTATTTGTACATTTTGTAATACATAATGAATATATTCATTGTGATCCATCTAAAATAGTGCCTCACCAACATGTGCTCATTTGAGTATAAAACTGAAAACATCAATAAAGTTATTTGGTAATATTAGCTAATACAGAAAGATAGCAACCTATGACCAGCCAAGCTTTAAATCAATGAGCTTTCACTGTGCTAGGAACATAAAAGATGTCCTACTTAGAAGCCAAGGCCCTGTGTGGTGGTGGGAAACCTATAGCATGCACACTGCAGCAGACTACTGATATCACTGAAAGCTCTAAAAGCTTCATCAGCACTTGCCTAGCGCATGCTAGTCAAGAACTAGGCAAAGGAGGTTCTTTCCAATTCTATTGGCATTTCATTGGGGAAAAAAGGCTATCAGCATTTTTCCATTTTGGATGCTTTCTTAAGAGACTTGGATCATAATGTGGTCCAAGACTTGGACCATAATGTGATCCTCACAAAGTCTGAAAGCTTTCCGCCTTGCTCAGACTCTGGCTCACTATGCTGGGCGGCCCACCCACAGAGATACCCTTCTAATCCCACTTAGGTTCTACACTGCAGGAACTCATTGGATAACTTTAGAACTCAACTGTTCAGGGCAGAAAGAGGGAGGGCCTTTAACCAGGCAAAACCAAAAAACTTTTCATGTTTGAACTACGTAAAAGTAATGACCTATTTAAAATCAATGTGATGCTTCCCAATGACTTTAAATTGAAGCAAAACAAATCTTGGTAATTCTTGGCTCTCTTTCTCCCTCTTAAATGTACATTTAAAAACTTCTGATAAATTTAGAAAGATTTGTAATTCAGTTTATCTCTTATGGTTCTAAAATATGTGGTGTTTGCTTAATAAAGAAAAAAATGAATAAAAACCCATTACTTTTTACAGCTGAGGGGAAGAAGCTCAGAGGTTGTTACTGTTTTGCCACCAAATTCATAGGCAAGAGACTTTCAAAAGTATGTGAAGACATCTATACACTCATCCATCTCCTTCTTTTTCTAAGATAAACATCTGTACTTGTTTCCCTTTAATTCCTCCTGACTTAGGCATTCACCGTTATACTATATGATTCATCTCTAAATTGGTTCTAGCTTTTCAAGGCTAAATTGGATGGCAGTGTAATACTACAAAAGGACATTGCCAGTGTATATTTCTATTTACATAGCCTAAAATTATGTTTTTAAATATGACCTTTTAAACCTGGTTCACTTTAGATATGGCTATAAAAGCAACATAATTATTGGAAAATTATTACCAACACTACATAAATCTTTAATTAACTAGATGCCAAGGCTATTCTCCACTTGAAAAAAGAAAAAAAAAAAATTAAATGGGAAGAGGAAAGAACAGTAATTACCTGGATTGGTGTTCCAGAAAGAATAATCCTATAATTAGCAGTCAGTTGTTTTACTGCTTTGGACAGTTTTGTTTTTCCATTTTTGATGACATGGCCTTCATCAAGAATACAGTAGTTAAATTTAATATTTCTAAGGGAGAATAAATAGAAAAGTTTAGCATCTTTTACTATGTTAGGAACTGTATGAAGAATCTTGGAAATTATAACATATTAAGTGTTTTCAAATTTGGGGTTTTGTTTTTGTTTTGTCTTGTTTTGAGACAGTGTCCCACTAGGTAATCCAGACTGGCTTGGAACTCACTATGTAGCCCAGGCTGGCCTTCACCTTGTGGCGATCCTTCTCTCTCAAGCTCCCAAGTCCCAGAAATACAGGTATGTGTAAAACACACGGCAAATGTCTTCCACTTTGATACAAAGTTTTTCTAAAGAAAAACATTTTAGTTCTTACCTAAAAAAATCTATGTCATTTCTCACAACATCATATGACGCCACTATCAGATTATGCCTTTTTACTTGATGCTGTAACCTTTATTTAAAAAAATAAGATAAAATTAGAAAACAGAGATTCTGCGAAGTTTTTAATACAATTTTAGTGATGAAACTATAGCAATAGTATAAGGTGCATTAATCTGCCTATGAAACCTTTCTCGCCCTACACACATGAGCAGGTTACATGAAAGGACATTCTTCTTAGATGTGGCTCTGTTATCCTACTCAGTCTGATTAGAAAAGAACCTGACTCAAAATGTGGTAGGTATTTTAACTTTATTTGCTAACATCTCTTCCTTAGGGTACCAGTCCTTTACAATTCCATGTTGTCCTAGGGTAGGTAAGGAGGGTTACCAGTCACATGTCCCCATAATTAACAAAAAGATGAAGCATTAGAACCAATATTTTTTTTTTTTTTTTGTTTTTCTCCGGTACTGGGAACCGAACTCACGACCTTGTGCTTGCCAGGCAGGCGCTTTTGCCGCTGAGCTAAGTCCCCAGCCCCAGAACCAATATTGCTATTCACAATTTTTGTTGTTGAGATAGGGTCTCACTACGTAATTCAGGCTGGGCTTGAACTCACTATGTAGCCCAGGCTGGCCTCAAATTTAAGGTGAACCTCCTACCTCGGCCTCCCAAGTGCTGGAATTACAGGCATATGCCACCATGCCTAGTCCATTCACAGTATTTCATGGTCTGACCACAAAAGCTAGTTTGGGAGGCATAGGCAAGTGAGTCATCTCTTACATAAATCATATGTATAAATATGCCTGATGGGAAAGGGACGATCTGTTTATTATATTTGCCAACCTAGGAGACTTGTAAGCCTTTGACTGCCAGTGGTGATCTTATCCAACTAAAGTCCAGGAGAGATCAATATAACATGTTATGTGTGGGGAGAAAGAACAAATCAGTGTATTATGATATACTTAAAAGTAAGAATCCACTTCTAAAGTTCTGAAATTAATGTAGTAAATTTCCTTGTTCACCTAATTTAGAGTTGAATTCCGATCTCTTTTTTTTTTTTTTTTGGTTTTTCTCCGGTACCGGGAACCGGAATTCCGATCTCTTGTAAATGAATGAATTCTAACTATGAGACATTACAGTAAAATGCACCAGAGTGCAAGTTTTTGCTGGACATGGTGGCACATTCCTTTAACCCCAGCATTTGGGAGGCTGAGGCAAGAGGATTGCTGAGAGAGTGAGGCCAGCCTGGGATCCATAACAAGTTCAAGGCCAGGCTGGACTACACAGCAAGACTGCCTCAAGGGGGAGGAAAAAAAAAAAAAAGAGTGCAGTTTTTGAGCTGCCTGTATTCAAACGCTTGGATACCAGCCTTGTGTCTTAATTTCCATATCTCCAAACTGCATTAGTAGTATACTGATGACTGAGACTACACAACTTTACAGATACATAAAATGCTTAAAATAATGCCTCACTAGTATGTGCTTATTTGAGTATAAAACTGAAAATGTCAAAGTTATTCAGCAATATTAGCCAATAATATTAGCTAATACAGAAGGGTAGCAACCTATGACTACTAGCCATGCTTTAAAAGATGAGCTTTCATTGTGGTTAGGAACATAAAAGATGTCCTACTTAGAAGCCAAGGCCCTGTGTGGTGGTGGGTAACCTATAGCATGCACACTGCAGCAGGCTACTGATATCACTGAAAGCTCTAAAAGCTTCATCAGCACCGGCCTAGTGCATGCTAGTCAAGAACTGTACCAATGACCTACATCTCCGGCACCAAAGTGCCTGAATTTTGCTAAGCTTCATTAATGATCCCTTTCCAAATACTCAAATTTCTTAAAAAAGATAAAGTAAGTTTCTATGCCTTACCACCAAAAAAAGCTAGCTCAAATTCATTTTTAATAAACTTTAATTTTCCAAACCATTTAAAAGTTTAAACATTTGTTATTGGTGTAGAGACCTACCTTATTCTTTCAGTGGGAGGTCCAGTATAATGCAATGGATTAAGATATTCTCTGGAGCAAAATTTACCTACTTCATCTACCCAGTGACCTGTTAGTGTTGGTGGACAAACCACCAAGGAAGGAAGTGGCATACATTCTGCCAATTTTGATCTTGCATATTCCTGGGCCCTTTACAAAAGCAAAACATAAATTAACAAGCTTGTTCACAGTTTTCACAATCGGGAAACCTTATTTAATAATAAAGTTAATTACCTGTGACAATGATCTCCTGCTAGAATGCAGATGGACTGTAAAGTTTTTCCTAAACCCATATCATCACACAGAATTCCATGAAGTTTATACTTATTGAGAAATGCTAACCAGTTCACACCATCCTATAAGGTTAGGGAGAGAGAAAATATAAATGTGAACAGATAAAAAATTTATTTCTTGTAAAAAACATTTTGTACAGACCAAAAATCTTTACATAAGCAAAAGACAAACAAGTGGATACAAGACACAAAGTAGAAGACTTTATTAAATCAATCTTAAAAACTCTGTAAGGTCCATTCAAAAAGAAAAGTAACTTTGCATTTATAAAATAAGTACAAAACTTACCTGTTGATATTTTCTTAGTTCAGCATTGATTGGTACTGGGATTTTATAATTTTCTAACTTTTTTCCATCTAACAATTGCTCCAAAAAGTGTCGCTCTTTAGCTTTCAATTGGATTAATTCTTCTGACATGTTTGGAGGGTCTGGAATGCCTGCCTAAAATGATTTTTTAAAATGTATTAAAAGTATTTACTCACAATTTTTCACCCTCAGATGTATCAAATAATTTCAATTCTTAAAAACATAAATACACAGAAAAAAATTAATTAAAGATAGTATATTTTAAAAGGCTTAAATGAGTGTAAAGAATTTGATGAATATTAAGAGTGCCTGAATTGGGCTAAGAAAACACATCTGAGGTATTTTTAAAAACATACAACCAAGCCAGGTGTGGTGGGGAATGCCTGTGATCCCAGTACTTAGGAGGCTGAAGCAAGAGGATCACTGTGAGTTCAATGCCAGCCGGGGTTACAGAGTGAGATCTTCTCTCCAAAAAAAACCAAAAAAAAAAACAAAACCAAAAAACCCAGCAAAAACACCCTACAACCACAACTGAATTTTCCCGCACTATCCATTCTTGGATAAAATAGCCAATAAAGTTATAGTTTATTTTAAATGACATACTGTTACGGAGCTTCTCAATTTTAGTATTCTGGTGTCCTTGGGTTTGGACCTTAAAATGTAGTCTGCAAGGCTCCTAGGGATCCCAAAGACCTTTTCTACCATTTCATAATAATTTTAATAACAACTTACTCTTTATTTTTGGAGCATTGGGAATCAAACCCCAGGCTTCCAATACTATTTCATAATGAAAAGGCATTATTTTTAAAAATTTTGTTCCAAGTTTTGTGGGCAAAACTGCTTGTGCCTCAGAGTCAAGGCAATGGCATCAAAATGTGTAACACAACATACAATGTGTAATACAAAATAAAATGACTAATCATTGTATTCCTCACAGCTATGAGCTAGCATTAAAAAAAAAATACTAGTTTCACTTAGGAATATTCTAAATAAAGCAGTAAAAATGATTGTTATGCAATCTCAACCTATCTTTTTAACACTGTGAGCCAAAATGTGAAATATACAGAAAGCATTTCTGCTACTTGTCAAATACAATATACTGAAGAAAAGCACTTGTGAGATGGTTTAAACTGTATGATAAGCTAGCTATTTTTTAAAAAATAATCCCGTCTTCCATATTCTTAAAAATTTCCCTGATAAACTACACACATGCACAGATCTGTCCTGATTATATCCAATCTTATGTTTCATTACTCACCGATCTGTCTTTACTCTTTAAAATTAATGTTTATGATTGTTAAATTTGGATCATCATATAATTATTATAATATTTAAACAAATTTTCTCTGTGGAGACAGAATGTTCATTAACTTAAGTCATTTTTTATGGAATATTTTACTTGAAAGAGCTAATAACTACAAGTATTCTTTTTGTTGTTGTTGTCATTGTTTTTGTTTGTTTGTTTTTTTCTGGCACCAGGAATCGAACTCATGACCTCGTGCTTTCCAGGCAGGCACTGTGCCACTGAGCTAAACCCACAGTCCCAACTAAGAGTATTCTGATCTAGGTATCAGGTTGACACTTTTTCAAAATAAACCTGTCGTTCAAAAAAAAAACAACTGATCTAGTAACCTGATATCACTGATAAAATGCAAGTTCCCCAGAGAAGGGTGTCAATATTTAAAACTTATCTTCTATTGTGTTTTTTTCTTTTTTTGTCATTTTGAGACAGGGTTTCACTATGCAGTTCAGGCTGTCCTAGAACTCACTTTGTAGCCCAGGCTGGCTTCGAACTTGCAGTGATCCTTCTGTCTCAGCCTCTCAAATGCTGGGATTACAGGCATGCACCACCATGCCCAGCTAGGCTTTTTGGGGGAGTAGGTCTTTTTGGTCTACTGGTGATATTAGAAAACATCATTTTTAAAAATTTATGTGATGAAATTGTCAACTTGTGATAGATTTGCATAACTTGGTGAATCAGTATTTCCCAAATGACCAATGTGTAATTTTGCAAAATATGCATGGGTAAGAATCCATGTAAGTGCAAGATAAGCCAAGGAATTTTAATGAAAGAAGGTCTGAAGTCCTTTGATAGGACTTTAGATTCTATACTGCACAGTTTTTGTTTGAGACAGGGTCTTGCTATGTAGTCAGGCCGGCCTTGAACTCAGTTTATAGCCCAGGCTAGACTTGAATTTATAGCAGCAATCCTCCTGTCTCAGCCTCCCAAGTGCTAGGATTACAGATGTGTGCTACCACCCCTGGCTATACAGAACATTTAACAAGCATTCTTTTTTTGAGTTTGAGTATGCTGTTGATCAAAGAATATCCACAGTTTTTTTAAAAAAGCTATGAAAAAGTTACTAAAAATACTATTCCCTTTCTAACTATGTGTATCTGTGAAACTGGGCTTTTTTCATAGCATATACATCAACCTAAACAACACTACAAGAGACTGTATGCCCAAGTAGGAGAATCTAATTACATACCATTAGGCCAGTCATAAGAGATTTGCAAAAATATGAAACTCTACATGCTGTTGTTTTAGAAAAGTTATTTCTCATCAAAAAAGTTAAATATAGTAACACAGTAATTTACTCTTTTGTAAGTGAATTATTTAAAAAATTTTCCAGTAATAATTTCTATCACAGAAGAGATTAGAAACAGATGCCCTTTGGGGTTTTTAAGTTTTCAGGAATATCACATCATGATACTAATAATGATCTATCCAAAAAAAGAAATCAAGGGGCTGGGGGTTTAGCTCAGCGGCACAGCACCTGCCTGGCAAGCACAAGGTTGTGAGTTTGATTCAAGGTACTGGAAACCACCCCCCACCAAAAAAAAGTCAGAAAAACAATTTCACTTATAATAGTATTATAAAAAATATTTAGGAATAAACTTACCGAGGAAAAGAAAGACCTACAGACTGAAAATCATAAAACAATGATGGAAATTAAAGGAGACCAATAAATGGAAAGATCTCCCATTTATATGGCACATGAGAATGAATGAATGAAACTGGTAACTTGAGGCTGAGTAAAAAGAGGTTTACTTAGCTCACAGTTTTGGAGGTTCATGGAAATAATGCCAGCTATTGGCTTGGCGCTCGTGAAGAGCTCATGGCACATGGCACCATGATGGGAGTGGGTGGGATATCTCAAGACAGGAAGCAACAGAATGATTCAGGAACTGGGTGCATTCTTAAAACAGCACACTACCTACTGAGAACTCAAGGACCCATAAAAACTACCTTAATCCTAGAGGTGGTGACCCCAATGATATTAAGGATATCCCACTACATGCTCTCTCTTTTTTTAATTTAAAAAAAAATTTTTGTACTGTCCTGGGGATTGAACCCAGGGTCTTCACACAATTACCCAGCCTGTCCATCTATTTATTTACTTATTCATTCATTCTTTCATTCAATTTTGAGACAAGGTGTTACTAAATTGCCCAGGAGGGACTAAAAATTGGGACCTTTCTGCCTCTGCCTCCCAAAGTGCTGAGACTGCAAGTGTGCATAATGTCACCACAGTGGGAGCCAAGCTTCCAAAACATGAGTTCTTGGGGATAGAAACTATGTCCCAACTGTAGCAGACTTAAACATAAGACTGGAAACTAAAACTACTAGAATAAAACATAAGGAAACAGATGGTGGTCTGTTTAATTTTTTTAATATATAACCCCAAAACCACAAGAAACAAAAGCAAACACAGATAAATGACACTGCATCAAACCAAAAAGATTCTGCAGAGCAAAGGAAGCAATCAACAGACGGAAGGGACAACCTATATAGAATGGGAAAAAATGTCTATAAACCATATACATGATCAGAAGTTAATACTCAAAATAAATAAGGAACCCCCAAAACTGAACAGGAATAATCAAATTTTTAAATGGACAAAGGACCTGAAGAAATATTTCTCAAAAGAAGATACACAAATGGCCCAAGTGTTACGCTTTGTGTCTGGATGCACCTGAGGTACTCATAGGTGGGGCTCTGGGGAGGTGACTGGATCATGGAGGCATATTAGTCCACTGAATTTGCAGCTAAATGTGATGTTCATAAGTGAAGCTTGATTACAGGAGGTGGTCACTGGGGGGCCTGGCCTGGAAGGATCTATCTCCCTCCTTCCTCTTGATCTCTCTCTGCTTGCTGCCACCACATCATGAGCTCTTTCTCCTTTTGCCTTGGAGCCAGTTGACTGTGGACTGAAGCCTCTACAAATTGTGAGCCAAAAGGAACCTCCCCTCCTTAATTTGTAGACGTTGGGTATTGTATGACAAGAAAAGTAACTAAGATACCAACATATAAGAAAAGATGCTCGGCATCATTAATCATTAGGAAAGTACCAAGTAAAAGTTCTATGAAATATAAGCTCACACATACTAGGATGACATTTTTTTTTTTTTTTTTTTTTGATAACCATTATAAAAAAAGACAAAACATTCAGGGAAGGATATGAAAAAAAGGGACTCCTTACTGGGTGTATGTAAGAATGTAAATGAGTATAGCCAATATGGAAAATAAAAAAAAAGCTTCCTCAAAAAATTAAAAATAGAATTACCATATATCCAACAATCCTACTTCTGGATAGGTAGCCAAAAGCAATGAATAAACAGTATGTTAAAGAAAAACCTTCACTCAAATGTTAATTGCAGCAGTATTCCTAGTGGCTGATATTTAGAATCAACCTAAGTGTCCATCAATGACTGAATGGATAAAGAAACTGTGGCATAGAATGGAATTATATTCAGTCTTAAAAAACAATGAGGAGGAGCATCAAGATGGTGGAGTGGTAAGCAGCAGAAAAAGAATCTGAGTGTTGCCACCTAGATGCTGAAATATAGCAACTTGAGGAAGATAAGAAGGATCAAAGTGTGGCTGCTGGACCCAGGAAGGATCTAAAGCATGAATTGAAGCCCACAGAGTGAGTGAAGAGAGAAACATCAAAGAAGGAGGAGGTAACTGGCAGTGCCTTTTCCCTGAGACGGGACTCCGAGAAGCAATTCAAATGTGTGGACACCCGGTGACTGGTACTGACCCAAGGCCTCCATGGAGAGACACAGCACTGGAGGATAGTGGATATGAAGGACTCCCATTAGTTGGCAGTGAGTGCTGAGGGCTCAGTTGT